CAGTAAAAAAAAAAAAAAAAGCAACAGGGTTAATACACAAAAGACTTGTACTGAATCCAATAGAGAAGAGGCTGAATTCTCTTCAACTGCTTAAAAGCTAGCTGCTGGAAAAACACTATTTGGCCTCAAAAGGTCAGTAGGGGGCACTGTGGCTCTTTTGTGGTAATATTAACCAAACTATTCTCCTTTCTACCACTAGATGTCACTGCTGAAAGGATTGACAGTACTATGGGAAATAGCAAAGGAAAGAAGTGTTTACTCAAAGCTGGAAGAAGACATAATAATCTGTCCGATTTTGACCAAGCAGTTAAAATTCAGTTTGAAAATTATGACTCTCATGCATAGTGGTGGGCCAAGTCGGTGAGCAAACCAAACTAGGTTAGATAACGGAAATGCCTGCTGAGGAACAGAAAATTAGGTTATGCAACACAGCAGTGTCTTTACACAGTGGAACTATTATAGCCGATATGTAACTTGATAGTGCAACATTTGTCATTCTACATTTCCTTGGTGTCTACATTTCCTGAGAATTTAGACAAGTGTTGCATAAGTCAGTACTACATTTTATCAGTGAGAAAAATGGCAATGAGAATGCTGTTTTAGGTTCACACTCACAAATTCTCATCAGTTATAAAATTATGTGTTGTAATAATTATACATTAATGCCAATTTAAGAATTAAAATGAATAGAACTGTGTAAAAATTAATAATGAATCTCCATTTTTAGATGCAACAATGAATTAGAATGTGGCTAACAGCTCAGATTAGAGCAGTTTTTTGACATGCAATCTGACCTTGAGCTAAGTGGCAGATGGGGTTGTCTAAATGTTCTGCTGCATATAAAGCTGAACTTTAGGAAAGTAAAATATGCTTTCCTGTACATTTTTACCAAAAGTATTAACACCGTGGAACTTACACTCCTTGATGAAGAGGTATGTTAGTGTTAACACGACAGTGTGGCCACTATACAAATAATCTCCGCACATGTTGTGGGACCCCGTGATAGACAGGCCCCCACCAGCAATCATCTTCATTATTCTCCTCATCTGTGCCTCCCAGTCCCCAAGAAGCTGAAAGAAACAGTCATACATTACATCAATATACAGTATGATGGACGGCAGGAGAGAGACATTAGCAGCAAAAGATAGTTGTATCAAAAATTTTAAGAAATACTTATAGCATTCATTAATAAACATTGTAATGCTGTTGGTTAATGCAGTCTATAACAATTATTTAGTATTATGCATCTATGCTGAATTTTTTTTTTAATTAATGATTAACTTTGAAATAACCTTTAACCCACCAGATAAGTTTTGTGGAGTGAAAAAATCTCCATAATATTTTCTCTAAAGTATTAGCTGTGCTAGTAGTGGCAAAAAGTGCAAATACTTATGTAAAGTATCGCAAAAGTGTGTTTATGGCAAATACAGCACTTTAGTATTTATTACTTTCTTCAGAAAAGGCATGAGTGACTTGTGCAAAGTAACCTAAGCAACGTGTTTTATTTACTGTGTATATCTGCAACAGAAGGAAGCAGTGCAAAAGTTGGTTTCTTTAAACGAAGGCAGGCACTTTCATTTCCTGACCTCAAAGCTAATAAAAGTATTTTTTTCATGGAAGGTTTCTTCCACTGGTGGCACCGTTTTTGTCTGCAAGCAGCACATGAAAAAAAAAAAGAAGTGTATTCTTAAAAATGTTTGACCTTAGAGATGCATACATGCAGACTACTACATGTGTCTACTTTATTGTCGGTTTTTACCAGGATTGTCTAACTTTTCTATTTATATAGTTGCTCTAAGTAAAACTACTTTCCTAGTAAAACACCGTAATGTTGTCTAATTATCTAATTGGAGCTATAAAAAAATGCACCCACTCAAAGCTGCCGCTACACACACTGACATGCACAGTGATCAGTGAAGAGCGCTCAGAGACTTTTAGCTTTTACAAGAGGTTTCATTTTTTGCTGAATTTGTCCATTCAGCACATTTGTTCCAAAGGCAGAAAACCTTTCATGCTCAATCAACCCAATACATTATACCTTTGGAGAGCATTTGAAGTGCATCCCAGGAACTGGCAGAGTGGTGATGTACATTGTAATACACCGGTACAGGTAGAGTGTGCCCACAATGAAGAAGAACCGTCTGCCTATAATTGACCTGGAAGAAAAAAAGCAGAAAAAGAAAATGAGACACTTTCCCATTTAACTCCAACCAAGATTTTAGCTTGAGACAAAAACATATCAGCTGACTGAACTAAACCAGACCTATGCTTGAGTAGACTCCACTGTATCACCCAGAGTGCCACCAGCAAGATGCCATTAATCTCACAGATGGAGAAGGCCCACTCTACCCTGTCAAACAGGTCAAAGAACTTATCAGGCAGCGGTGGGGTGTGCTCCTTTGGTGGTACTCTCTCATGGACCACTGAAATAACGACAGTGGTGGTAACAAAGCACACCATTGCATAGACAAATGCTATGCCCGTCTTCCCCCACTCTGTGGGGAAGGAGGAAGGTAGAACTTCCACTTTTGGCATATGGATGTGGACCATGTCCACCCCAAAGTCCTTCCTCCCCAGTGTGCCATTCTTCTGGGGCTCGTTAGTCCCATTAGGTAGCCCACCAATATGCCCGTTTGCATGGCCATTTTTGTGAGCCTCTATATGGTTTTCTATCTGTAGTGTCTTCATTTGCTCCAGTATCTGCTGCCCACCATCAGATGAGACCAATGAGAGAGGGGGCTTCTCGAAATCTTCTTTGGTGAGCCTGAGCAGAGCAGGGCCATCTGTCTGACAGAGAGCATCTATATACTCTGGCATCCCCTTTTTGCTCAGCCAGTCAGAGACATCCTGTGCTGACCATGCTGCCACCTTCTTCATCTTTGCCGATGGGCAATATGGAAGATTAGGAGGATCCTCAGAGAAGAGGGGAAGGTTCACAAGAGGTTTGGCAGTCTTATGGTGCAGTGGGAAGTCCTCTCCAATTTTGGCACATGGTGTTTCTTGTACCCAGAGGGAGCCTAGCCTCCTCCTGAAGTGATGTAGACAAGGCAGGCAGCAAGGTCACTCAGGCTAAAGACCAAAGGATAGCAGATGAACCACCGTGGCCTCCTTTGGTTTTCTTCACCTTGACTTTTTCCACCCACACGCTGCACCCCTGTTAAACAAAAAGTAAAATGATGTCAATCAGAATGTAGTGATCAATAACATATACTCCACCACTATTAAGGAAAAATATGATTTATGATGCTAGTGATTACTACATTTACTTCCAGTAGTCCTGGGCTGAAAACAATGAGGCACAGACTGTTTGGCCAACTCTAAACTACAGAAAATCACAGATGAAACCACTTAAACTCCATTTCACAGACATGAAACATTAATGGGGTGACAGTGGTGCGGTGGGTAGAGCAGTCGCCTCCCAACCGGAAGGCTGAAGGTTTGAATCTGGGTGCCTGCAGTCCACATGTCAAGACACTGAACCCCCAAGTTGCCCGTGATGGCGCTACGTATGCACGCAGCGGCCCGGGGCCCTTGCCTCCGAACAAAATTTTGTTGTACGTGTCACAATGTTACAATAAAATTAAGCTGCTTCTTCTTCTAAATGAATAATTCACATTGACAACATGGTATGAGGACTCAATCGATCAGTGGGTTTTCCCTCTTTGATCCTCGGTGTAGTGCCAACATCCTGAGTGGATTAGCTTTTTTTTTATACAAGGCACTCCTCCACTCCCTAACTCCCCACACAATGAGGTTCTGGATCAAACACTATTATTAGGCAATAGTGTGTAAACTGATCCAAGCTTAAGTGTACCCAATATAAAGTCTTGGATGGGAACAGAAGAGGACAAGCATTGAGGAACATGCACTAAGGAAGTAATTTGATAAGCCAGGGTTTGATATTAACCATGGCCCATGACCACAAAAAAGTTACTGCATTGTCATCACGCTTGATCAGATCTCTACTGCGAATGAGACCCCGTGTCTCAGGCCACCTGCATTGTGCCGACGTGACGTTAACATTCCACAAACATCCTGTTTCATTTCTGCTTTTAGTTCAACATTCTCTGAAAAGAGCGAACAGTAAGGTTACTTGTCTGCCGGGCCCTCTGCCGTTACATCATGGGTGCTGAAGTATGGGTTTACAAAGCTCAATCAAACCTGTAGCACAATCACGACAAAACAACGAGAAACAACAAACATGAACTATGAAAAAATGGCAACTAAAATTGAGGAGTAAATGGAATCAGAAATGTAGGTGACTAGAAAACACATCTATCAATGTAATGTACTGTGGCGTACACATGACTAACGCAGGGACAATGCTGGGGTGGAGGCAGGGAATATCAGGCACAGGAATGCATGGGGGTGCAAAAAAAGATAGACAGAGGATATGCACCATGGTTCTAGAGAACTTGTTTTAAATTTAAAGCATTTAAAATAAATTAATTTTACCCATGTATTTTGAAAGAGCATGCTAGAGTTGTATGCATTATAGCTTTTTAACTGCTTTTTGTAACGTTTATATTGCAGACATGACTGACTCAGGCACAATGCTGGGATGGAGGGATTAAAAGAGCAGGTATGAGGTGGAGGCATGGGGGTGTTGCCAAAAACAGCGAACTAAGACAGAATAGCCCTATATGTATGTTTACAAATGAACTTGCTTTCAGTTTAAACAAATAGTTACATTTTAATTCTGCCAGTCTTTTCACTTATTGAAGTGTCACAGTTACAGAAAGCTGAGTTGTGTTAAATTGCCCTTTCTGCATAGTTTTTACATACGTTTATACTTGGGCCACCAAAAATGTACTTAGAGGCTTGGTGGTCCATGGGGCCAGTGTTTAAAAATATTAGTGTCTGTCCATGGATAAGCACAACAAATGGCACCAAACACAAACAGATCTCAATTTCTAAATGTTGATGAATTAACTGTCGAGTTAAATGACTGGGAAATTTAGGTTATTTAACCACTTACACAGACAAACAAAAAAGTGTAACCTTAATTTGCTTCATCCAGGCTTCAACCAACAGCTAAAGTTTAACAAGGAGATTAACTCACATCTGTTGCATATCATGTCTGTTTATATATCCCAATGTCAGTGGTGAACACTGGGCGGCCCTGCGTGTGTTTACAGTTCGAGATACAGCTGGAAGCAAGTTCCAATGTACTACATGGATAGGAGGGAAAAGGGAGGATGGCAGGGGAAACAGACTTCAAGGAGGAACTCGTAAATCACAGTGAAGGTCAGCACTGAGACAGCCCCACCCCAGTAACAAGGACAATTTTTGATTTGATTTGATTTATTCTTTCAAGTATGTAAAGACAGTTGATATGTCAACACACATAATTTTACACATATCCAACAAATGCTAATCCAATATCAATTTGCTTATACCTAGTACATGCTTGAATGGAGTAGGAAGAAGTCAGACTTATCCAGTCCTACCCCATGACATCATCTTACATCATTGGTTTGCAAGCAGTAAATAATTCTCTTCTACA